CAATAGAGTACGCGCTTTCACTCGAAGGAACAGAAGAAAGAAAAAAACAACACAAACTAAAGGGAACGCATTTAAATATTATACGCGTTGTAATATACGTAGAATACAAAACTAGTGACTTACGAACAATTTATGTATCCAAATATCGGATCAGGTTCATCATATCCATCGGCACCACCACCACCACCATCTACTTCAACATCAAATACTTCTACATTAGGTAATACAGGGGCACCAAAACCTGTTGGATTTTCTAGTCTAATGGCACAACCAAATAATCAAGCTACTCCTTATCCAGGTGGACAAGCATCACAAACACCATATCCACCAGGCGGACAATCATCACAAACACCATATCCACCAGGTGGTCCATCATCATCATCATCTTATACTAATCCTTATGCATCAAATAATCAACCACCAAATTCAAATAACTTTTCACCATATTCTCTCCCACACATGGGGCAACAGCCTCCACCACCACCATCACAACAAGGTTAATAAATTATTTATCATCAAAAAATTGATTATATGAATATTTTTATTTTCAGGAGGTAGTAATTTTCAACAAAGTCCTTATCCTCCACAATCAAGTCCTTATCCAAGCTCAAATACATCAGCTGGTGGTTATCCAGGAAATCAACCTCCACAAGGTTTATTCATTTTTAAAAATTTAAACTTTTAAATATGATTTATTTTAGGTAATGCAGGTTTTCAAAATCCATACGCTGCATCAAATCCTTATCAACCACAACAAGGCAAATAAAACTTTCTTAATTTAATTTAATTTAATAATAATTCATTTTAAATTTTTAGGTAATCCTGGCAATCAAAATCCTTATCGACCAGCAAATCCTTATGCTGCACCACAAGGTAGATAAAAAAAGATAAAAAGTTTTAAATTACAAATAATCTCACTATCGATATATCTATCACAAATTTTGACAGTAATTATATACGATTTTTGAAACAAAAATAGATTACAAATTATATAGAAATAAAACTTTGAAATACAACCGAAAAAATATCAATTATAAAATTTATTTTAGGTAATGCTGGCTTTCAAAATCCATATCAATCGCAACAAGGTAATTATTCATTTAGTTTTCTTTAAAAATAAGGTAATTAATTCTTATACTATTTTTAGGCGGTTATCCTCAACAACAACCATACAATCCACAACAACAACAACAACAATATCCAAATCCTCAACAAGCTCCAGGTAAAATTGCATGCTGTTACTTAAAAACTGTTGAATGAAATTCTGTGTATTTCACAAGATTTTTTTATAATACTAATGCTATATCTAATTTGAATCTTGCTTTGTAACAGGTGGTTATGGTGGCTATGCGCCATATAATCAAGCTCCACAACAATTTCAAAATCCTTATAATGCCTATCAGCCACAAGGCTAGTAGTTTTCTTGATTGTATATATTCAATATATATTCTTCTTTTGCAGGTGGAGGATTTAATCCAAACTCATTTGGTGGAGCACCAGGTGGAGCACCAGGTGGTCCTGGTAAGTTTTATTTAAAAGAATGAATGAATCAACAATAAAAAATTTGTTTTAGTTAATGATCGTATTCGAGCCATAGCTGGTCGATATGAAATAAATGATCAATTAGCTCAACGTTTAAATATTCTTCAACAATTTGAAATTGTTGTTCTTTGTGATGATTCCGGTTCGATGAATACACCAGTTGATGGAACAAATGGTACTCGTTGGGATGAATTACGATCTATTGTACAAATAATTATTGAAATCGGTGCCGTATTTGATTCTAATGGTGTTGATGTACATTTTCTTAATCGTCCATCAATGCCCGGCGTAACAGATTCTCGACAAGTTATGGAATCATTTAGTCAACGTCCAGCAGGTTTAACACCATTAACAACATCATTAAGACGAATCTTTCAATCTGCAGCAAGTAAACCTGGTAGTGATAAACGTTTACTTGTATTTGTGGCTACAGATGGAGCACCAACAGATCCTAATGGAAATGTTGATATACA